TAGTTAGTTAGTTAGTTAGTAGTTAGTTAGTTAGTTAGTTAGTTAGTTAGTTAGTTAGTTAGTTAGTTAGTTAGTTAGTTAGTTAGTTAGTTAGTTAGTTAGTTAGTTAGTTAGTTCGTTAGTTAGTTAGTTAGTTAGTTAGTTAGTTAGTTAGTTAGTTAGTTAGTTAGTTAGTTAGTTAGTTAGTTAGTTAGTTAGTTAGTTAGTTAGTTAGTTAGTTAGTTAGTTAGTTAGTTAGTTAGTTAGTTAGTAGTTAGTTAGTTAGTTAGTTAGTTAGTTAGTTAGTTAGTAGTTAGTTAGTTAGTTAGTTAGTTAGTTAGTTAGTTAGTTAGTTAGTTAGTTAGTTAGTTAGTTAGTTAGTTAGTTAGTTAGTTAGTAGTTAGTTAGTTAGTTAGTTAGTTAGTTAGTTAGTTAGTTAGTTAGTTAGTTAGTTAGTTAGTTAGTTAGTTAGTTAGTTAGTTAGTTAGTTAGTTAGTTAGTTAGTTAGTTAGTTAGTTAGTTAGTTAGTTAGTTAGTTAGTTAGTTAGTTAGTTAGTTAGTTAGTTAGTTAGTTAGTTAGTTAGTTAGTTAGTTAGTTAGTTAGTTAGTTAGTAGTTAGTTAGTTAGTTAGTTAGTTAGTTAGTTAGTTAGTTAGTTAGTTAGTTAGTTAGTTAGTTAGTTAGTTAGTTAGTTAGTTAGTTAGTTAGTTAGTTAGTTAGTTAGTTAGTTAGTAGTTAGTTAGTTAGTTAGTTAGTTAGTTAGTTAGTTAGTTAGTTAGTAGTTAGTTAGTTAGTTAGTTAGTTAGTTAGTTAGTAGTTAGTTAGTTAGTTAGTTAGTTAGTTAGTAGTTAGTTAGTTAGTTAGTTAGTTAGTTAGTTAGTTAGTTAGTTAGTTAGTTAGTTAGTTAGTTAGTTAGTTAGTTAGTTAGTTAGTTAGTTAGTTAGTAGTTAGTTAGTTAGTTAGTTAGTTAGTTAGTTAGTTAGTTAGTTAGTTAGTTAGTTAGTTAGTTAGTTAGTTAGTAGTTAGTTAGTAGTTAGTTAGTTAGTTAGTTAGTTAGTTAGTTAGTTAGTTAGTTAGTTAGTTAGTTAGTTAGTTAGTAGTTAGTTAGTTAGTTAGTTAGTTAGTTAGTTAGTTAGTTAGTTAGTTAGTTAGTTAGTTAGTTAGTTAGTTAGTTAGTTAGTTAGTTAGTTAGTTTAGTTAGTTAGCTAGTTAGTTATGCTGTATTCAATACATAATGGCGTCAGTCATCATAGTATGATTGCGTCACTTATCATAATAAGATTGCGTCACTTATCATAATATGATTGCGACAACTAAACCTAATATTTTCAATTTCATGCCTACTTTTCTTTAAGTGTATTGACTACTAGTCTGTTAAGAATGGACTAATGGACTAATGAACTTTAAGCAAAAACAAGTTAGAGTACTATATTCGGCTATGCCGAATCTTAAATACCCTCCACCAGCAAGCTACTTTTTATTGAAACCCATTTAACTATCTAATTTTTAGATAAGTCACCAACATTTTTGTCGAACTAATGTTGATTAGGTCCAGAAAAATTTAGAATGACTTATCTATACACAGAACTTACTTATGTCGAATTTTATCCGGATATAATAATTTAATAACGAATTAAGTGGTATTAAGTGATTTTCAACAGTTAACCTTATATGGGAGCTAAGACAACTTCTGGACCGGTCCGGAAAAAATTCCGTATGATTTATATACATATATACAAAATACACATTTATGTCAAATTTTATACCTACATGTGTATAAAATGTGCGTTTAAGTAATTTTCAGTAATGGCCCTTATATGGGAAAAATTGTATACCTATGTATAAAATGTGCGTTCAAGTAATTTTCAGAAATGGTCCTTATATGGGAGTTGTGACCAATTATGCACCGAACAGGAAACAATTTCGTATAATGCAGAAAAAGATCAAGTATAATTTTACTCCAATAGGTGCGTTTAGGTGATTTTAGGAAGTGGACTTTGTATAGGAGCTATGAGCAATTAAGGGCCTATCCGGAAAAAATTTCGTAGAGTGATTTATGTAAAGACAAAACATATAAGTGTCGAATTTTCTCAAGATAACTTTATTTGACAATGAAATATGTGCGTTTAAGTGATTCTCAGAAGTGGACCTTATATGGGAGCTATGACCAATAATGGACCGATCCGAGAAAAAAGTGGTAAAATGATTTTATGTACACAAAACTTATTCAAGTCAAATTTTATTCCTATAGCTTAAGAATTCAATGAAATATATGCGTGTAAGTGTTTTTCGGAAGTGGGCCTTATTTGATAATGAAATATGTGCTTTTAAGTGATTTTTGTAAGTGGTCCTTATATGGGAGTTATGACCAATAATGGACCGATCCGTAAAAAATTTTGTAAAATGATTTGTACGTACACAAAACATATTCAAGTCGAATTTTTACCCGATAGCTTTAGAATTCAATGAAATTTATGCGTTTAAGTGATTTTCGAAAGTGGACCTTAATGGGAGCTATGACCAATTATGGGCCTATCCAGAAAAAATTTCGTAGAGTGATTCATGTTTAGGCAAAACATATTTATGTCGAATTTTATCAAGATAGCTTTACTTGACATTGAAATATGAGCTTTTAAGTGATTTTCGGAAGTGGGCCTTATATGGGATCTATGACCAATAATGGACCGATACGTAAAAAATTTTGTAGAAAGATTTGTGTGTATACAAAACAGATTTGTGTCGAATTTTACCCCGATAGCTTTATAATTCAATGAAATATATGCGTTTAAGTGATTTTCGGAAGTCGACCTTATATGGGAACTATGACCAATTATGGGCCTATCCGGAAAAAGTTTCGTAGAGTGATTTATATTTAGACTAAACATATTTGTGTCGAATTTTATCAAAATAGCTTTATTTGACAATGAAATATGAGCTTTTAAATGATTTTCGGAAGTGGGCCTTATATGGGAGCTATGACCAATAATGGACCGATCCGCAAAAAAAATTGGTAGAATGATTTGTATGTACACAAAACATATCCAGCTCGAATTTTATCACAATAGCTTTATTCATCAATGAAATATGTGCGTTTAGGTGATTTTCGGAAGTGGACCTTATATGGGAGCTATGACCAATTGTGGACCGACTGAGATCTACGTTGGTAGTATGATTTCTGTTCATATTATATTTGTATGTACAAAATTTGGTGTTGATACCGATATATTTGATTGAGTTATTAACGATAAACTAATTTCCGGGAATATATACCTTTGTATGGGGGCTATGGGAAATATTGGATCGATTGTAAAGATTTTGAACATAATTGATCACTGCCCTAAAAAAATAAAGTGTGACAAAATTCATCGCAAAATCTTTGGTAGTTTCTGAGAAAACTTCAAAAGAATTAGGAAAAAAACGTAATTTTTTTCGAGGTAGTCTGAAATTTTTACTCATAACTTTTTACGTTGTGAACCGATTTTGCTGATTTTCAATACCAAACTGCTTAGGATAATAATAAATATTTTGGGTGAATTTGGTTGATTTCCTTTACTTAGTTTTAACGTGAGCGTGTTTTACACAGACAGACAGACAGACAGACAGACAGACGGACAGACGGACAGACGGACAGACGGACATAGCTAAATCGACTCAGAATTTCATAAGGACCCAGAATATATATACTTTGTTGGGTCTTAGATGAATATTTCTTGGTGTTACACACGGAACGACAAACTTATATATACCCTCTATCACCACTGATGGTGGTGGAGGGTATAAAAATATTAAGAATTTTAAAGAAATATTTTGTTTAACCAGCAAAAAAAAAACATATAATTATTTAATTAATTCTTTTTTTCACATCAATCATTATAAAATAATTCTATTATATTTATACTTGAAAAATGTTTAAAATTAAATTATTATTTTTTGTTTAAACTTTAAATCTATTGTTTAAAAAGTTAAAAGTTTTTTATATTTAAAATTTAAAAAAGATTAGCTATGCTAGCACTTTATAAACTCTAAAGAGACTTAATCACTTTTACCAGTTACTCACTGCAAACTATTTAATCGTTGGTCATGGTTTTTTGTTTTATTTTTAACATGTCAATTTATAATTATTGGATTTTGTAAATTATTATTTAGTTATTTAGTTGAAATAAATTTAAAATACATTTAAAATGTATTTTTTAAATAATTTATTAGCAAGTAGCTAAAGCAATTAAAGTTATCTGGTAAAAAAAACTTTATATTTTTAAATCTTTATCAAGCAAAGGTTGTTTAAATTAATTGTTAAAGTTTTTTTCAAGTTATTTTTTTTTAAACAAATTAAAATAGTTTTTGTTGTTGGGTTTTTGTAAATGAAAATTAATTTTAAAACATTAATGAGCTGTCATCTAAGAAAGAATACATAATGATGTCATTTTTTAAAAAAACCCTAAACTATACATATAAAACTAATAATTAAAATTTTTCAAAAAAAAAAAAAAAAAAAAAAAACGTTTAAGGCCTAAAAATTTTTCAACAAATATTAAACCATCAGCCTCTAAAAGGTCTTTCAAATTATCTTAATTTTATTGAGATTATTTCCTAATATTGATTTATAGTTTGTAAACATTTTAAAAATATTTCAATTTGAAACAAAAACAAGTTTTTGATTTATATGAATTTTGCCAAATCACAAATCACTTGCACATGCGCCCTTCCTCTAATCGAAACATTTCAGGGAAAATGTCAATGTTTCGTTTAATTAAACATAAACATATAAATTATTAATAATACAGCAGCTGTACTACTAATCATATTAAATATACTAATGACCCCCAATAATTGAGCTTAAGCTTAAGCAAAACTTTCAAAAAAATTAACAATTTTAATTTTGAAAAAAATTAAAATTTTTAATTTTAGTGACATCTGTTAATAAAACAAAAATTTTAATTTAAATTAAAAATAATTATAAAAACAAACAAATTTTTTAAGATTTATTTTGCTTATAATTTTCTTTCTTATTTTTAATTGCAGGATTAATAACATAAAGGAAGTTCTTCATTAACGAATCAAGGTAAGCATTCTTCAAGGTTTTCGCTAATTTCGATATATTCTAAACAGTTTAGCTAAGCAAACTTCATAATTTGTATAATTTTTCTTATTATACGTATTCTAAGCGAAGTATACTCTTACACAGATAAATCAAATAATACCTAACTTCAACGCATTTTGTAATAAACCATTTTCATTCAGAATAAGAAAAGTTCATAAATAGTATGAAACTAACTCATAATGAACTTTGCTTTAATACTGCATAAAAAAACTGAACTAGAACTGAACTAGAACAGAACTAGAACTGAACTAGAACTAGAACTGAACTAGAACTGAACTAGAACTGAACTAGAACTGAACTGGAACTGAACTAGAACTGAACTAGAACTGAACTAGAACTGAACTGGAACTGAACTAGAACTGAACTAGAACTGAACTAGAACTGAACTAGAACTGAACTAGAACTGAACTAGAACTGAACTAGAACTGAACTAGAACTGAACTAGAACTGAACTAGAACTGAACTAGAACTGAACTAGAACTGAACTACAACTGAACTAGAACTGAACTAGAACTGAACTAGAACTGAACTAGAACTGAACTAGAACTGAACTAGAACTGAACTAGAACTGAACTAGAACTGAACTAGAACAGAACTAGAACTGAACTAGAACTGAACTAGAACAGAACTAGAACTGAACTAGAACTGAACTAGAACTGAACTAGAACTGAACTAGAACTGAACTAGAACTGAACTAGAACTGAACTAAAACTGAACTAGAACTGAACTAGAACTGAACTAGAACTGAACTAGAACTGAACTAGAACTGAACTAGAACTGAACTAGAACTGAACTAGAACTGAACTAGAACTGAACTAGAACTGAACTAGAACTGAACTAGAACTGAACTAGAACTGAACTAGAACTGAACTAGAACTGAACTAGAACTGAACTAGAACTGAACTAGAACTGAAACTAGAACTGAACTAGAACTGAACTAGAACTGAACTAGAACTGAACTAGAACTGAACTAGAACTGAACTAGAACTGAACTAGAACTGAACTAGAACTGAACTAGAACTGAACTAGAACTGAACTAGAACTGAACTAGAACTGAACTAGAACTGGACTAGAACTGGACTAGAACTGGACTAGAACTGAACTAGAACTGAACTAGAACTGAACTAGAACTGAACTAGAACTGAACTAGAACTGAACTAGAACTGAACTAGAACTGAACTAGAACTGAACTAGAACTGAACTAGAACTGAACTAGAACTGAACTAGAACTGAACTAGAACTGAGCTAGTATTTCTGTTCCTTTTGATTTATTTAAGAAACTTAAAAAAAAAGTAGTATTTTTACTGCCTTTTTTAAAAAGTTGATTTTTTGGAAATTTTACTAACAATTTTGAATGAACTAATTAAAAATGTGTCTAAAAATGTACCATTTCACCCACTATCGCCAATTCCCTACTTTTCCATTCTTTTAACATTTCTTTAAGCTAGAACCTGAAATATTTCCTCACACACTCAAACTTCAAGCTTTGAAATAATTGACATTTAAACCAATCGCATATACAAACAGTAAAAAATCTTTTCAAAAATTCTTTTTACAAGAATGTTGTTTGTGTAAAAAACGTACAGGTAAATATTTCTGAAATCTTTAACCAACAGCGTATTGTTTAAATATTTATATATTTAAATATTTAGTGAGACAATCACGTACAAGTATTTTGCCAAATGAATACATTAGAAACTTACCCATAGACAAGCATAGCATTTTTGAATTATTGACGTTAGAGTTTTTTTCTGCTAAACAACAACAAAAACAAATTTACATGAGATAAAATTCTTGAAGTATTTCTTTTGGTTGTTTCTTACCTGTTTACTACTATTTGGGTCAAGTAAGTTATTTAAGCTTGATTGTAATTTAAAACCTGAACTATTGATTAATTACGCCTTAAAACTTAAGCTTATATATAAAGGTGTTAGAATGCCTGAAGCTTAGAGAAATTTGGCGAAAAAGATAGAATTGTTTAAGAAGTGGCTTAATTTGGAATTCCAAGCAAAACTTCCTATCTATAAAACTTTTAGCAATAAACTACTGTTTTAGGTGTTATAAAGGTAGTAGATTTATATTTTTAGCAAACAAATTATGTTTTTAGGTGGGGTTTTGGCTGTTAAGGGCATTTCTGTTGGATTTATAGCCATTGTGTTACATTTATAAAAAAGTAGTATTTCTACTACTATTATACATTTTTAAATATTTGGTTTATTTGACTTCATTGTTGCTCCAGACTATCATAGCAGTTATTTTTAGTGTATTTCAGGACTTTTTGAAATAGTAGTATTTCTACTACTATTTTTAAAAAATGATTAAAATTTAATTTTTTATCATTTTCAACCAGCAGCAAGAAATTTTAATGACATTTTAGCATTTTTTCTTTAATTTGTAAATAGTAGTATTTTTACTACTATTTTTAAAAGGCAATTTTAAACAAAAATTTATTTATTTGTATTAGTATATTTAGCCTTAAACATATTTCTATTTAATTGGAGCCATTTTGCGATTTTTTTAAAAAGTAGTATTTCTACTACTATTTGAAAATATTGTTATTTTGCATTATTTTACCTTATTGGTGCTAAGAACTATCTTTGCTGTAATTTTAAGTGCATTTCTGTAGTATTTCAAATAGTAGTATTTCTACTACTATTTTTCAAAACTTTTAAAATGTTATTTTATGGTCTTTCATCTTAAGAAATAAATTTAAATAAAATTTTAATATTTTCTTTCTTATTTAAAGACATTTTGCTACTATTTTAAAAAAGTATATCTACTACGATTTTTTAGTTTATTTATTTTGCTTTATTTTTCATTATTGTTGCTATAGACACTTCCAGATGTTATAAATAGTGCACTATGAAAAATAGTAGTATTTCTACTACTATTTTTAAAAATTGTTAAAAATATTATTTTATACTCTTTCAGCTTTAAACCATAAACTAAAATATAATTTTTTAAGTTTTTCATATGATTTAGAACCTTTTCACAACTATTTAAAAAACAAGTAGTATTTTTACTACTATTTGAAAATTTTCAGTTTTTGTTATTCTTTTCTGCTGTTATTAATTAAGTAGAAATAGCAGCTAAAATAGTCTACCTATTAATTTTAGCATATTTCTGGCCATCTTAAAATAGTAGTATTTCTACTACTATTCTTAAAACATTTTAAAATGGAAAATTGTTCGTTTATTTTATTTCATTAAGACTAAAGACTCTTTTAGCTGTTATTTTTCGAGCATTTCTGATCTCTTTGAAATAGTAGTATTTCTACTGCTATTTTTAAAAACATTGTAAAATTTGAAATTTTTAGTTAACTTTGCTTTATTAAGACTATAGACACTATCAGCTGCTATTTTTAAAGCATTTCTGGTCTTTTTGAAATAGTAGTATTTCTACTACTATTTTTAAAAATCAGTTTTACAAAAATGTTTTACCTTGTTGGTAGTCTTTTTGCACTCACATATATTTTTATTCAATTTTAGTGTATTTCGGGACTGTTTAAAGAAGTAGTATTTCTACTACTATTTTTAAAAAATTCGAAAAAATGTTATTTTTATGCTTAAAAATGACAATTGAATGACATTTTAAAGTTTTTTAACACTTTTTTTCATTTTTTGTCATTTTAAAATAGTAGTATTTCTACTACTATTTTTAAAAAAATTAGAAAAAAATTTATTTTGATCACTTTTATCCTTAAAAAGGATACTTAAATTTTCAAAAATCAGTGCTAATGAGTAATATTGTTAGAAAATTGTCTTAAAAACAATCATTACTACTTATTCTACTACATTTTGATGTTCGTTTGACTTTTTTAACTTTTTGCCATAATTATTTAGTTAACTGCCAGTCTTGCTGCTACTCTCTGCAGAATTGTTTAGTAGTTAGTTGAAAAATAATAATGTCTCTACATTATAATGAACTTTTATGTATTTTTAATGTATGTTTCATGTGTCTGATTACAATCTTTTCTTTATCAATTGTTGTGTACACAATTTTTGGGTTTTATTCAATTTTAATGGATTTTTGTCTCTACTAACAAATGTGGGTCAAGTTTTTTTTTTATTTCTACAAAAATTGACCGGCTTTTTTTGGGCATAAAACCCCACTCAAGTGTTAGAACTTTTTATTCATGGTTTGGTTAAATAAAGTCAAATACTGAATGAATGATAGCTTCTTTTTGGGATTTTTTTGTTCATTTTTTTTTAATACTAAATGTTTTAGAAAGTTTTTCTCTTAGAATTTTTTGTTCTTTTCTGTTACGTAGTGGGTTTTGTTCATTAATTCTTCTTTTTTTCTTAACGAGTTTTGAATAACAATTGTTTATTATGTGTTTGTTGTTGTTTCTTTGTTATTCTTGTGTTTGGTTTCATATTGATTGTGTGGTTTAGTTTTGAATATTATTATTGTAGATTCAATAACTACAATATGAAAAGTATATATAACAAGAATCTGTGTACAAAGTTCATTAAACCCCATATGGGAAAGAAGTTATAGTTTTGCATACCTACATATTTATGGTAAAAATCTTCTTAAACAAAGAATATTAAATTATCCATAAAAACTTCACAAATAGAAAAGTGTCAATTACCTCAAAGGCGTAAAACTGTTGGCATTAATAAGAGTATTAAATGATTAATTAGTAAGGAAAAAGTATTAAATTTTTATGAGTAATCTAAGAAAAAGTGTTTTAAAACTATTTCTATACATAAAAAGTTAAAAAATTGCAATTTTGAAAATAGTAGTAATAATACTACTTTTTTATTTTACACTAAAAATTTCTAATATTGAATTAAGCTTAAGTTATAAACATGTTTTATAGCTAATTTTTCAAGTTTTAGACTTTTTTAAAAAAGGTAGTAGAAAAAGTACTTTTTTATTTTTTTTATAAATTAGTAATTAGTAGAAAAAGTATAAGATTTTTATGAGTAATCTAAGAAAATATGTTGTAAAATAAA